AGCTCAGCCTCAGATACACTTGAATCTTTGTCTATTTCTTGAGTTCAGAGCCAGTCCCTAAGGCTCACTCCAGCTTGTCTGCCGGCAGTAAAATTACTAGGTCCGCTTGCTCTGTTGAGCTCCTTATGTTCTGACTTCAAACAGTGCAGCATTAAATTGGAAGCAGGGTGTGGGGTGTGTGTGGGTGTGTGTGTGTGTAAGGACAACATTATCATCCTCAAGCCAATGTGATGGAAATAAGGATTGCATCACACTATTCCCATGAGACTTGGCTAAGGACCAAGAAGCCTCTTTCACTTTTCCATCCACAAAGCTCCTGCTGCATGTTGTTCTCCTTTCCCAGCCAGATCCAGCTGCAACAACAATATCCTTTGTCAGAGATAGCAGCAGCCATTGGCAGTGAAAGGGCTTCTCCATAGCTCCATTAGACAAGAATGATCACATAGCAGGGCTAGCCACGTGCCTGTCATTACGATGGGTGGAGTGTGTACAAAGGGAGAGTTTGTGTTTTGTAAAGTCCCCTGGAGGATGCAGGGCACCTCCATGTGCTCTGCACATAGACATAGCTTGCAGTTCTCCCTGTAGGGTTTCTGTTAGAAAGGGTCAGACTACCAAGCAATGGGGTAGAGGGCATGTCTTGTTCTCATCACTACTGTGGTCCTCAAACACTGTATTTTATTTTCATCCTTGTTGGATTGAATGGCAACCAATCATTTATATGGAAGAACAAAGGGTGGGGGAAAATACACCAATAAAGTGTGAACTGAACGTGGCCACTGCTTCCACAGACCTGGCTCTACCATGGGGCAGTTGTCTGAGTTGAAGGCACTGCTCACCAGGCATTCCAGTTCTACTTGGGTGCTTGTTCCCAGAGGGCGATGCTGGGGGGCTGCCCTTTGACTCTATGGAGCCTTCAGTGTGGGGTTCCTCAAGGTTCGATTTTATCCCCCCTACTGTTTAACATGAAACCACTGAGTGGGGTCATCCAGAGTTTTGGAGTACTTTGTCGGCAATATGCTGATGACACACAGCTCTACTTCTCCTTAGCATCTGCAGGTGAGGCTGTGCACTTATTGCATTGCCTTGGAAATGGACAAGATGAGAGCCAACAAACTGAAGCTCAGTCCAGATAAGACTGAGACATCATCATGATCATCATCATTATTAATAGAATTTATATACCACCCTATACCCCGAGGTCTCAGGGTGGTTCACAGAAAAGATCACAATATATAAAATCAAAATAAGAACAATAATAACACCCCCCCAAAAAAACAACAACAACAGCAACATTTTACTTTACTGTACTTTTGTACTGTTTTATTGTTGTTAGCCGCCCTGAGCCTGGCTTTGGCTGGAGAGGGCGGGATATAAATAAAAATTATTATTATTATTATTATTAAAAGGGTATAGGATGTCAATCAGGTCAGCGAAAGGCCTGGTTAAAAAGGAATGTTTTTGCCTGGCGCCTGAAGGTGTATAATGAAGGTGCCAGGCAAACTACCCTGGGGAGAGCATTCCACAGACAGGGAGCCACTGCAGAGAAGGCCTGTTCTCGTGTTGCCACCTTCCAGACCTCTCGAGGAGGAGGCACACGAAGGAGGGGATGATCTCAGGGGTCCAGGTAGGTTCATATGGAAAGAGACGGCCCTTGAGGTATTGCTAGTTAGTGGGCAGTTCACTAACATTGTTAGGGGGCAGTTCCCTAGACCAGATGGATGGGCGGTGGCTTGCTCTCGATGGCATTGTACTTCCTCTGAAGGAGCAGGTATGTAGTTTGTGGGTACTCCTGGATCCTTTGCTGTCACTTGAGCAGCTTCCATCCCACTGAATCAAAAGGGATATAAGCAAAGGAAATTGCACGTTTGCAGCCTAAGCCATCTTGCTTCCTTCAGGAGGATGTTTAAGTTCAAATAATTGAACCCAGAAATGGCAAAGCCCCCACCCAAGCCAAGCTAATTTTCCAGTGCTTAAAGCAGAAGGCATTGTACTCTGCTTGAAATGAACCCTTTGCCCTTCATTTGCTCTCTAAGAAGAAGCAGCAGATTTGTGACATGGAAAGCAGATAGTCACTGGAGCATTTTTTTGCTACTGTGGGAGGGGCTGTTTGGTGGGCAAAGAGCCCATTCTGTTTTGTCATGCGTGGCGCAAAGATGTCACCAATCCCCGACATCCCCCAGGGTCTCTGTATAACAGCTTGTGCCTGAAGCAGTCTCCATCCACTAGCATCTCATATTCTCTACAAGTTGGGACCTGGGGCAGTAGCATCTGTCTTTGCAGGAGAAAACTGCTGACACATGAACAGACACACACTGCGGGGAGGGAGAGGGGGAGGGGGAAGAGAGTGGAAAACTCAAGACAGAAATAAACAGCAATCGAGGAGCAGGAAATGCAAGGAAATATGTCCTGGAGGTTGTACAGACAATCGTGTATTCAGAGGAACAAATGTGCCCTTGTTTTCTTGTTGTTGCATGTGATACACAGGTTTGTTTGTTTTCTGTTACAACGTCATGTGCAGCAAACCAGTTTTGTGGGGGGGGTTTCGTGGCATTTCAGGATGTACCTGTTAAAATCTGACCCCACTCTCAAGAATTACATCTCAGGGGCATGTGCGCACTGCGTGATTATGTGCATTTAGTGTGGGATGCAGGTGCCTTTTTCGGGCGTTGTACACATGACATCTTCCCTGTGTCATCCCTGTCCCGCGCTATTTGTCGATTGAAAGTGCATTCTGCTAGAAAGTTATAATTTACAGTAATTCTCAAGCGCTCGCTGCACACATGTGTATACAGAGACACTTCTTCCGGTCACCTGCTTCTTGGGACAGACTGTAACCTTCCCATGTTTACCTTGTCTAGGAATAAAAAAGCAAAAATAGGAAGCAGGACAGTAACTCAGCTGCCTATGTATACCAGTTTAAATCCTCTGTATATCAGTATATCAACACACCAATTTCTGACCCCTTCTTCTGAAAACCTGAAAAATATCTTTTGGGGGGGTGTTGTTGGAAACATTATTTGAAGGGATGGGAATAGACAACACCGTTGCACACTAGTCTGAAAACATGCATACCTGTGTGTACAGAAAACTTGGATAGGAGCTGCAACTGTGGATGATGTCATCGTGCAGAGGTATATACAGTTGCAAACCTCTGTGTACTGTGGGGAAATGACCTCTGTGTATTTCAGAGGAGGCTACACATGTACACAGAGGTGTTTTGTGCAATTAGAGAGGGACCACAGCTTAATGGTAGAGCAATGCTTTGCATTCCGAAGATCCTTAGTTCAATCCCTGACATTTCCTTTTTTAAAAAAGGAACAAGGAGCAGGTGGTGGGAAAGACCTCTGCCTCTAGGACCTGGGAGAGCTGTTGCAAGTCAACAGGGTTAGAGATGGACATTTGCCTGACCCGACAGAAGGCAGCTTCCTAGGTATCCTTTGAAAATTGACTGTGGCATCACTGGTGATGAGATACAATGGCTCTGCAGAATGTGTGTGTATAAAATGCATTTAATGTGCAAACATATTCCTTGCTCTGTAGCAGTGGCCCACTGTTCAAATAAATCTTTTGCTTAATTTCTTTCCTCTCTACTCTCCAGCACTAGAAAGCACATCCTGTGAGCATCCAACCCAAAAAAGGGTGGGTGGGGATTTTACAAAGTCACTTCCAGAGAAGAAGGAAGAATCTTATGACTATCTTGCATGAGATAAAGCAATCATTCTGGAGGGGGGAAATAAGCCCACGCTGTGTCAAAAAAACCCAGTATCTTTGGGGATGCTTATCTTTATACTTCAGATTTTGCATTCGAGTCTGAAAAATTCAAGACCGTTTTCAAAAGTTGCTACTTGTTGTTTGGTCTTGAGCAAGCTGTAAAGTCAGGATATGCACCCTATATTATTTGCAACCTCTTAGCATGATTGCGAATTTAAAAAAACAAAACAAAACCAGAGTCCCAGGCTTTGGCACCGAAAAACAAAAACGAAAACCAGAGCCTGTGGGATTATTGTTTGTGATTGCAAAAGGCCATTGCCCATGAATACCATCACCTGATCTGCATGCAGACAATGGCCTCTGAATGATATGCACGTTTATTCTCACAGCTGGGGCTCTGTCCTCTGGAGGGGGAGGGGAGAGGAAACTACAGTGACCTTTAAGGCCCACACATTTATTTTGTTTTTGAAAGCCTTGTCTGAAGGACAGAAAGGAAGGATGCTCCAGCCTTAGAAGAAGGTTCATGCAATTGCTTGGCAGGCAAGTTCCTTTAAGCTCAGCCTGGAGGGGGAAAAACAACATTTTGAAGCTGAACCATAAACTATTATTATATCATTCATTAGGGTGTGGGCCTCGATGTCACAGGGAGTAGGTATAGAAAATCATCCAAAACAAAATATGTTATATAATTTATGGGCAGCTCCTTTCTGAGCTCACAAAAGGGGCTAGATGCTTAAAGGTTGACCTTCTAGGATAGAATGCACAAGCGAATGGTGAGTAAAGTGCAGTCATCCCTGTACAGAAAAAATACATGAGCCGAAAATCCCTGATGTACCCATTGCCTAGTTTTCTGAACCAAGCCTTCCACAAAATAATTAAGAGGGGAAATATTTCAGTGGTTAGAAGAAAAAATTCCCCTTGGACATCAAGAAAGTCAAAGAAAAGGCCGAGAAGGCTGTGTGCTTCTGGTATTACATTTTCCTTAGTAGCATTTTAAAAATATGTAAAGGGTTGTAAAAAGGCTTAAGTCCTGTTATCAGAAGAGTTAATCTGGGGTTAACTCTAAGTGGGAGTAAGGAGTGGGTTGACACTTTCTGGCCGTGTGCTCAAACTTCACCAGTTTATCTGGCCCATCCTCACAGAGGTTTGCATGCATGAGCTGAACCCATGTAGGGTAAAAGCAGGACTGAGTCAAGGTTTCAGGGGGCATTGGACAAAGTGCCCTCTGGTGAGCCTTCTCCTCCATTGGCAGGCCCCAGTGGGTGTGCAACAGTGCACCAGGGCACACACCTGGGTCTAACTGCCATTTTAATTTCCCCTGATGCAGCAGCTCTCGGTGAATTATGGGAAATTAAAATGGCAGTTAGACCCAGTCAGCTGACACTGCTTAGGGTGTGGCAATGTGGTTTGGTTGGGGGTTTGGGGGTTTTTTTTTTTAAGTGGGATCTAAGTCAAGCAGCGGGCCTATCGAGGACTGGAGTCATGAAGTTCACTGGGTCTTGGGTTTCTGGAGGGCATATCCGCATCATCAAGTTCCATATTAATACATATTAATACTAGCATCCTGGTTAAAGAAGACAAGACAAACTTTGTTAGCGGTTCCTACATAGCAGGGGTTTATTCCACAGTAAAGCAGGACAGCCTGGGTTGGGTTAATGATATTTTCTGCTTCCTAACTCACTTTTTCTCTCATGGTTCTGAATTCTGCCTTCGGCTATGCAGATGTGGACTGATTACCGTACCTTGCTTCTGTTTCATCTGAGCTTTCCACTCAACATCTTGTTGCACACCACCAGTCTTGGTTCCTGCAGTCCTTAGCTTCATGGGGTCTTTATGATATATGGTTTTAATTGCACATAAATACAGGCAGAGCATAAGATGGAAGCACTCACAGGATTAGCACTACAACAGGTGTCAAGCCATAGCTTTGGATTCAGCAGAGAGGGCAAATCAGACCTCTGTGTCTTTCCAGCTCCAGATAAGGTCTACAGTATTGTTCTCTTACAATCACCCATGGCATCTCTTCCAACCAGGGGGAGGACTGCCTTTTAGCCCCTTCTTGGAAACGACTTCAGCTAGCCATTTCTGTGTCAGGCAGCCTGTCACCTGTACTCTTTAGTCATGGAAATAACACATTGCAGATTTGGCTAGAGCCATTGGTTGAACAAAGACTCTCTTTCTACAGAATCCCATCTTCCAGACATAAAGCAACTGGCTTGGAGAGAACACAAGATGACATCAAGATGAACCCCATCCCTATAATGATAGCTAGATATCTCTCTCTATATATTTTCCAGAGGCGTGGTCATGTTGCTCCATCTCAAGAAAAACAGCAAAGAATCACGTGGCACCTTCAAGCCTAACACATTTATTATGACATAAGCTTCTGTGGCCTAGAGACTGCTTCATCAGATGTGTAGTGAATATAGGTGTTTCTGTATGTGTGTTTGTGCGTGGGTTTTTTTTAAGCTGCAGACTGTTCACTGATGACTGTTAGATGGAAACATACACATGCACCTCCTCCTGTGAAAGAGTAAGAAATGTTTTCCTTTCCTTTCTTTTTTGAAAGAAAATAAGCTTCAATCAGACCTTTGCAAAGAAGATGACCTTTGCTGTACTTCTTCACTGCTCACCCATGTCCACGGAGCTGTTTGTCTTTGACAGATTTGCATTTAGTCTGTACTCCATTCTCTCTCTCTCTCTCTCTCTCTCTCTCACACACACACACACACACACACACACAGGCAATTCTGCACACATCCTTTGAGGTAGCCTGAGATTAATAGAAATTCCTCCCAAAGCCCAGTCTTCATAATGGTCTCAGATGCTGAGGAAAGAAAGAAGGAAAGAAAGATTTCACAAGCAACCACGTTCAGTGACACTCCCTCCAGCTGTCCTTGCAAAATGCCCTCTTAATAACCCTTTTTTAAAAGTTCTGGTTGTTCCGCTGTGATTAACTGGCTTTTTTTCCAGTCACAAGGGCTAACTGAAGCAAAAGTTTCCATACCACGAAGAAGCAGAGTAATGAACTCTCCTAAGGAAGCTGGGTCCACTTTATATATATCTCCTGCCTCCCTGCCTCAGCAAAATAGCAGGTTTGAATTAGCGTATTTTTAAGCAAGAGCAGATGCAGGCGTTTCTTGGGGCTAGGACTGAGCTAGCACAGCGTGGATGGCGCAGCTATTTGAGGAGGAATATTTTGGACAGCAAAAAGCCTTTTCCTTTTAAACAGTTCATAAAGTGGGTTTTTCTCTTTCTTTCCTTCATAGCCCTGATATTTTCTGAGGTAGGGCTGGGCCCAGTTCTCACTTCTTCATTCCAGCCAGCAATGTGACCTTAAGCAATTTATGAGGACAATATTTTGAGTGCTCAAAGCTCTTGTAATTGGAGCTGAGTTTTTTACATGAGATTTTTACATTTGCCCCAGATGAAAGCTGGAGATGGGATAAGTCTGATATTGTTATGCAGTAGGTGTCTCCCTACATGATGTTTCTTGGCATCAATTGGTGGAATAGTTATTGGTACTAAATACCTGGCTGTGTGAAAATGTCTTTGATAAGTGTCTGGGTGGGGATGGGATGCCTCTTTTAACCCCTCTTTTATCATGGTAAGAAGGATTACATCATCAAGTATGCTATATCAGGTGCTTGTACACAATTCCCTTTTCTTCTTCCATCCTGGAGTTTCAAGTTTTTGGTTGCTTATAAGAATAGGAATAAGAATTTATTATTTATACCCCACCCATCTGGCTGGGTTTCCCCAGACACTCTGGGCAGCTTCCAACAAAATATTAAAAATACAATGAAACATCAGACATTAAAAGCTTCCCTAAACAGGGCTGCCTTCAGATGTCTTCTAAAAGTCAGATAGTTGTTTATTTCCTTGACATCTGATGGGAAGGTGTTCCACAGGGAGGGCACCACTACCGAGAAGGCCCTCTGCTTGGTTCCCTGTAACTTCACTTCTCGCAGTGAGGGAACCGCCAGAAGGCCCTCGGCACTGGACCTCAGTGCCCAGGCTGAACGATGGGGGTGAAGAGATTAGCAGTCAAGGGCCTGAAGTTTCAGCCCGGTGTTCTCAATGCAATATTCACAAGCTCATCTCCACTGCTGACACCAAGGGCAGTTGTTTGCTATAAGGCAGGCAAAGTTGCATCTTTTCTTTAAATAACTATTCAGCTGTTCTGAAAACTGCCAAACTTCATAAGCACTCTTCACCATATAAAATGCGGGTGGTCACAACAGACCAGTCCGAAAGGGAGGAGATACTGAAGAGGACAAATTGCCATATTTCCACAAATTTATTGTGGGTTGCATGGATGCAATTGGACAAATACAACACTTACTGGAATTTCCTGAGCAGATAGGGAAGAAGTGCATGTTTTATGGAAGCATACTTAGCCTGGATCTAAACACATAAAATAAGCATTTCAGTTTAAAGCATTGTAAATTTAAACAGGGAAAACAGGTAGAGAAAAACAGGACTCCACATTGCCACCTCGTAGCACAATGTTCTATACAGCACATACAACACATATAAACTCTTTTTCTTTACCAATCAGAGTCCTTAGTTTGAGGACAGTGGGGGATGAAAGGGGAAAGAAAACAAGAGGTGAATTGCATGCTGGTGGAGCAGACCTTAGATCATCTTTCCACATCTGATAATTGGGACCTGATTCCAGCTGACAATCCAATCTAACTCTAGATGAAATTTAGCAGGCAGTGTTATTCTTTCGCAATTGATTAGGTTTTAATCTCATAAGCAGGGGACATGCTCAGTGTTTGCACAGTTGCTTGGAAACATGTTGCTGAAAGCAGCTCCGTTACAGTTTAGATGGGAATGTGCCTGTTTTCTTCTAATAGAGAATGAAGGGTTTTTTTGTACATAAAACCTATTCCTCAAGGCTCGCAGTTGGGCATGCTCTTTCATTGTGGTTGCACCTTCTCTCTGGTTCTGATACAATGCTTACTATAGAACAGGCCTTGGCAAAGCAGAATCATCTCTGAAGGGCAGCTCAGCTTCTATAAAATGTTCAGCTCTGGACTTCTCTGCTCTGAGTGTTGCTCAGGGCAGTATACGATGATATGATTTGTGTGAACCAGTCACATTCCTATTGGATAGTTCTGAAACAATGGTGGAATGTCTCTGTCTATCCCTGCAGTGACATTTGCCCCTAACCTAAAGATGGCAGCTAAGTAGCAGGTGGCCAGCACACACACCACATTTAAAAGCTGTCTTAGAGAAAACACCAATATTATCTAAGAAGGGAAAGAATCAGTGTGGCTTTATTAAAGGCAAGTCACACAACCAACTTTTTGGATTAAAACATAGACAGTTGGAGGGGGTGGGTGCTAGACCAAGATTCTTGCTGGTATTAGAACAGAAACTTTATTCTAATTCAGTATGACTCCCCTCTATGAAAGACTTTAAAATGCTGACTTCTAGAAACGAGAAGAATGCTTCATTATGTGACTAAGCAATTTGATGACAAACTTAGGTTTGGAAAGCAGGGCTTATGTGTTATCTACAAAAGTCATTATTTAGTCCAGTGCTGTTAAGGATTTTCATGAATGACTTAAATGAAATAATAGACAGAGTATTTATCAGATTGGAGAATTGTACAAAATTGGGAAAGGCGGGAAACACTGGAGGGTAAGCTAAACATACAAAATGATCTCCGTTCACTGGAAAGCCGAGAAGACAGTAGGCAAAACAATGACATGCAACGAGGCACAAGCAAAGCTCCGCACACAGGAAAGGACAAAATGCTCAGCTATAAAATGGAGGTTAGTGGGCTGCGGCACTTGCAAGAAAGATTTAGGGGGCTACGGTGGATTACAAACTGCACGTTAATCAACAATGTGATGCTGCAGCATAATATGCCAACGGTGGTTTAGGTTGCAATAATAACTGGGACATAATTTTCAAGATTTGTGATGCAATCGCCAGCTGTGTCCCATACAGGAGTGCATGCTATTTGGCTGGCTGATACCAGGAAGCAGCAGCCGCTGAGCAGGAGCAGATGGTCCAGCTGCTCACAGTTCATCATTGCCATGCGGTGAACAAGGAAGAGCTTCCACCAAGTAGCAGGGATGGAGGTAGGTACATAAGGAACTCAGGACTGCAGATCAGGGCAAAAACAAAACAGGGAAACTGGTTTCCCAAGATTGTATTTATTCTTGCATTTATGCTTCATGGAACTCAAGGTGGCATACTCACCTCCCCTTCTCCATTTCATCCTCACAACAATCCTGTGTGATAAGTATGGCTGAGAGATGCTGAGTAGCCCAAGATCAGCCAGTAGAATTATGGCTGAGTGGGTATTTGAACCATGGTCACCTAGGCATTTGTCCGGCACTGTGATGGGGCAGTGG